TATAAACAACTAACAGCTTGGGTTTTGTTATAATATTTTTGCTTATAATTCTGCACGACCTTTATTAAATTCGTATTTTGGTCTATGTCGTTTATCATTGCTAAATTATTGGGTCCTAATCATTTGAATATGTGTAAGTAGTCAGTGATTTTTGATAATATTTTTTATTGTCTTTTGTTTGTTAGATTTATCTTAAATTTTAATATTTTGTATTGTCTTTAATTTTAGTTACAATAACTTTGTTTTGTTATTTCCTTTAACTAACATGTATTTTATTGTTTATGGAACCCAGTGTATCATCTAGGTTATTTATTTATATTAACTCTTTGCATTTGTACTCAGGTTAAAGCTTTTAACAATTATAATGGATTTTAGATCATTCTATTTTATTGCATATGTTTTGTATGTGTATTATATTTTGTTTGGAGAGTGTTCATACATAAATATTTGAGCATATTACCTACTTATAAACTGTGTGTGCTGAATTGTTTGTGTATTTTCACACATTGATTCTTTGAGAATATTGGAACATATTGTAATAAAGGGATACTATAGTAAGATAGGGAAATTGTTTCGTTATATCACTTCACAGAGTATGCTATTGTTCGATAGTGTGGTTATAGGCTGCGGTTAAATATCTGCACTAGATTATATTTTTCCATGTTTCCCCTCCCTTTAAAAGCATTTGAATACTATCTATCGGAAATGTGTTGTTACTGTAGTTTACTTATACAACAATATACAATCGTATCCTCGTTCAATAGTACGAAGATGCGTAGTAAGGTAAACAAATAGTACAACTCTTCGTCATAAATTATATCTTATAACTTTTTTACCTGACTATAAAATGAAAATTGATAAAATACCCAAATTATATGAAATATTTTATTCACTTATGATTTATATAGTATTCTTGTGATTATGACCCATATGAATTTGTTTTGTATTTTATTTTTATTTAAACTGTGTAAGTCGTTTTTATGGTCCATTTTTCCTGTGCTCTGACTCAACGGGCCACCCCTTTGTCTCTGTTTAAATTAAATCAGAGGTTTCCAATCAAATGTACGACACACATGTAGTGTCCTAATTTTTATAAAGTAGGTTAAGAAAATACATAGTGTACCTTAAAGTATAGGAAGTAACTCGTTTTATAAACAGACACTCGTTTTATTAAACACTCGCTCGCAAGCTTCGCACGTGCCTATAAAACTCGTAACTAAAATGGCGTTTATAATCTTATAATCATCATAACTTTTTGCTACTCAGCTTGAATCCGTATCGTTCTCCAATTATCTTTATTATAAGAAGCCCTGGCTTCTTTGAAACGCCGGGAACGTCTTCGGAAGGCGTTTTAGGACATTTATACCGCCTCTTTACCGACGGGACGTTAAGTCCGGGCCCCCGGAGGATTTATCTGTTCCAAAGGCAGGTCGATATCTCCGTAGAGGGAATGTTACAGTCAAATTTATCGGCATCTGTCTAATTTGGCCAAGTTTCACTTCGGGATCCGGAAAATTGATTTTGGGACGTAAAAAAATCATAAAGTATTTAAGGAAGTGAGATTGAATTAACGATTAGGAGTTGCTGTTTTAGTCACTGTTTGAATTATTCATTGGATTTATAGGAATTTAAATACTGCTATTGAATAAATAGTACCTATTTAATTTAAATATTTAAGAAAACGCACGATTCTTTTTCTACAATTTAAATTATCATTAAGTTTTAATTTGCTTTAAGTTTTCAGTGAAATTAAATGTTAAACACAGCTTAGATACCTACCCTCTATTAAACAATTAATTGAATTCAATGTAATAGCAAAAATCCATTTCTTCTTAAATCATGTTGCTAGGTATTGTCAAACTATTACTGCTTCTAAAAGCAATAATAATTATTGTACATTTAATGTAACCTTTAGCTAATAAATAAATGAGATTCTAAAAAAGTGAGGTTAGGCCGCTTTGATGTTGAATTAAATTGACCTATATAAAGTGCTTTGAAGATAAAATGTTGTATGCCATTCGGCCAAGAAGTGCCTTTTTGTGCTTCGCTCAATTGTAAAATGAGCTTAGCACAAAAAGCCTTACTTCTTAACCTAATGACATAAATAACTATTAGCTTTAAAATATTAAAACAATATTTATAGATAAATAAAACTAATTTTATAAAAGTTACAGTAGAGCACCCGTTTGACATCCGCTTCACAAGAGACAGAACTTAGTTCAAACCCTGGCTGGGTCAATACATTTATCCGAAACCGGCAGTAAAGGTCTACTTAATTTAATTAATAATAATTAATTTAATACGGGTATTGTATGCAACCCCTTATACATTTTAAGATGTGTCTACTGCTCTTCAGCAGCAACTAAATAATATTTAAAAAAGGCACCGTCGCGGAGGTCGATTGAACCCTTTCATAAAATGTTGTTTAATAAAAATAATAAGTTAATTTTATTAATTAGATTAAAAAATTGCCGCGGAGGACAAATATATAATAACCGTCGCAACAAACAGTATACTTTCTACATTCAAATGACATTTGATTTAATCATATATTATATCACGAGAACTATGAATTTAATCGGTTAAACTAGGCTCAGTAGTTTTTTGTTTGGTTTTTCTTGGAAAATGTTGAATACAAAATAATTTAATAAAATCACTAGACCGCGTAGCGGTCGAGGGGTTTTATTTTTAATTATTTTGCATGAAACTATTTTCCAAAAAGAAAAATCAAATAAAAAACTAGCATAGTTTGACTGATTAAATTTATAGGTTGAGTGATATACGTCTAGATTATTTCTCGAATTAAAGGAAACTATTTGACAATTCATAAAATCGGACGTATGTGTCAAAATTTATAAATATTTTTTTAAAGAAAATTCCCTTAATTTAATGTATGTAATAAGTAATAATTGATATTTCGTAAACTAGATAACTTATTTTTTATTGTTTTTTAAAAAATGTTTGTTAAAACTTGTAAATAACACCATAAAATCGTAAACAAAAATCCAATATGGAGGCTAAAATTTAATCGCTGTTAAATAGTTCTAGTGATTTAATCGCTTATTTAAACCAAATTTAATCGAAAATTCAAAGCTTTTGATTGGTTCATATTATAATGAGGGAAATAATCATCAATAATCATTATTTGTATTATTAAATGTGATTTCGGATAAAATTTAATATGCACCTCGGCATTAACGTCATTTTTTATCACTCACGTGCTTATTTGCCTATTTTATATTTAAATCTACTAATTTGTTTATTTCATTCAGTCAAATTTATTATTTATTTATAATTACGCTATGACAATTAGTTATTTTTGACTAATTTATTTTAAAAAAGTACACACATTATTTTGTTCTTTAGAATTATGTTATTTTTTAATTTGTAATTTATTTTGTTATCTTTGGTAAGGCAAATAAAAGACAAAAAATATATTCTTGTTATTTTATTTTAGTTCTGTCCTTTCTTGTGAAAAAGCAATTGTAAGTTTCATAAAATTGAAATAACAAAGCATGTTTTATAAATATACAAACATTTTTTTTTAATAAAAAATATTAACAAACAATAAATATATTTAATTAAGTAGAATTATTTACAAATGAACAAATTTCGTTTTTATTTAATAAAATCTAACTTAATATTTGGTAAATAATATCTATACAGAAATCATATTAATATTTTCGATTTTTCTACAAGAAACATTTATTAACATTGATTTTTATTTACCTAATTTTATTTTTAGTTTAAATTGAGATGTCTTGAACACTGATAATTATTTAAGGAAGACTGTACAGTGTACACATTAATTTGTTTAACTTATTTAAATTTTTGAAATGTGCGCTCAAAACATTAAAAAACACTTTAGGTCATTTAATTTTAAAAATAAAAATATCCTTTCGATGTTTTACTCCTGTATGATTACTGAAGGATTATTGCTTACAAACTTGTTAATTTAATACTATTGGTCGAAAATCTATTAATAAAAATATCTATAATTGCACATTTTCTTTTATTATATTATGATTGTATATCGCTACAACTTATAATATTAATACAAGTAAAGAATTAATCCAGTTATATAATCAATAAAAGTTAATGATTTCTTTACTTGTATTTTAAATACTTGACGATAACATTTTTACATTAACAGAGAAATCTGACATGAAAACATTTAGCTAATTTTATTTTTATTTTTAAGAATATTTCATTCAACTTCTTTTAATCATATAAAATTTGTAGTTTTTTTAGTAACTTGCAGTAAGTCGCAGTCTTTACTTATGTATATCTTATACAGGGTGAATTTATAATGACAAGTACATTTTCTCAAATATTAACTACATTTAGACTTATCAACAAAATGCTTTTTCGAAGATAACAAAATTTAAAAACTGTATTTTTTAATATAGTCTGTTTTCGTTTAAATATTTTAAAGACCAGTGTAATTTATTTTATCGCTTAATAATTTTAGGACTAGTAGTTTTTGTCATTTTAAACTTACCACGTATGTTTTTGCTAAATAAACCGTTTAGGTTTTATGTTTGTTACATAAAATTTTATAGACTACTTAAAAAAGGTTTTTTAATGAGACCAATAAATTTTATCAGAAACTAAAATTGTTGCACAACTTCTTACTAAAAACTAAATGACTCAGACACACTCTTAATGTTACTCAACAAAAAATGCAACTCGCTATTTAACTACATAGATTAAATTTTAAGTAACAATTTACATAGAGAGAATTATAAGGGAGTTAGTAAAAAATAAATATCTCGTTACATTAAACAACATTAAATAATAGAAAAAATAACGTTTTTGGCATATTTATGTACAGACTGACTTAAACCTAACTTAACCTAGCTCACTTTCTTTTAATGTCATTGATTAATGTCACACATTGTCTATATTACAAAAACAGCACCAACTCCTTAATAAACTAGTAGTAAAATTACACCACCCTAAAAGCTGGTAGTAGTAAGTCTGCTACTAGTTAAGTCTACTCAAAGGGACGACCCGAACTCCGAACACCTCCTATCTGAGTGCTTCAAGTAAGTCTCCGAGTAGATACTGCGAGTTCTGTCATCGTACCTTATAGAGGGCCTTCTGATGTCGATGATGTCTAGATCGGAAGGCGGACGTCTGCAAAGGCTACAAAAAGCGCACTGCAGCGTGTTTTTAAAGGCTTCCCTGAAGTCCCTGTTGAAGTATGCGTATATTAAAGGGTTCAGGGTTGAGTTGAAGTATCCAATCCAGAATACAATAGTGACTACTACATCTGGGCTTTCGCATGAGCTGCATAAAGAGACTGTGTCGTACCAGATGAAGAATGGTAGCCAACATAACATGAAGATACCCATTATGATGCCTAGGGTGCGGGCTGCTTTGTGTTCGCGTTTCATTTTTATTATGTTGCGCTCTTTTGTTGGAGTGTGATGAAGATCTTGGTTGACTTCGTGGAGGGTTAAGGTTTTTGACGATCCGCCAGAATTAGATAGCATATCTCCGTTGGTGTTATTTTGGTGCAGAAGTAAGGCGGCACCATGTCGATTAAACATCTCTTTCTCTTGCTTGTTGGCTTCTTTGAAGATTGCGAGGTACATAAATATCATTATGGTGCACGGAATCCAAAACGATATACTACTGCTGATGACGGCGTAGAATTTATTGACGATGAACTCGCATTCTCGCTCGTTTTTCTTACGGTTTTCCTGATTTTCTGTGGTTGTGTACCAACCCAAAAATATCGGCACAAAGCTGATAAAAGCTGGGCTTATCCATATACTTAATATCATGATGGCAACAACCTTCTTCGTCATACTCAATGTATATTGAAGGGGTTTAATTATAGCATAGTATCTGTCAACACTTATACAGCACAGGTGCAATATGGATGCTGTGGAGAAGTAGACGTCCAGCGAGTTCCAGACGTCGCACATAAAGTAACCGAAAACCCACTCTCCAAAAATCTGCACACTGAAGTTAAACGTCATAGCAAACATCGCCACTAGCATGTCAGCTAACGCCAGCGAAATAACATAGTAGTTTGTGATTATCCTCAACTTCCGATGCCTCATGACGGAAACAATGACTAGAAGATTACCGAAAATCGATAGTATTATTATGGAACCCATAATGGTTGCTTTCACGAACAGCAGGAATATGTCGGTCCAGTGAAGCTCAGGATCCATTCCTGTGGTGTTGGTCTCGTTCATTTCGACTTTGATTTGTCTTGGTGATCTGTTGTAAAGTTTACTGGATGCCTTTGGTGTCTTGATGATTACAGTTCGGATTGCTGTAATGCATTTTTAATGTTGTTTCTCTCGCGGCCAACCTGCGAACAAAAAATTAAAATTAGCAATTTGTTTTGGATGAAAATATAAATAAATAAAAGTTGAATAAGTCTACGTTTATTTAATTGCCTTTTTATATAAAATATTATATTTTACGCTTATTTATTTTAATTAAAATATTTAATTACCAAAATAATTTTTTCAAATATTTAAAGTTAAATGAGTTTGTTTAAGGACGTTCTTTGTTTTACCTAATTGCATTTAATAATTGGTAATTAACTTGGTTAAGTTTTAGGGCATATTTTAATTTTATTTAAGTATACAAAACAGTTCTGCAACACCCATAATCCGTTTGGACGGCAGAGGATGGCTAATTACATCTCACCGCTGTACCTATTTGCCTATATAAGGGTATTGGCAGCGTGTTTTGAGCGTGATTACACTTGTGTTTTAAAGATGGGAGTACAAAAAGTTAGATATAACTTTTTGTACTCCCATCTTTAAAACACAAGTGTAATCACAGTTAGATATAACTTTCTCTATAAATTAACACTAATAGTACATTATAGACCAGGCGAAGAAAGCACATATTATTGCCGGGCATACATTTTACTGCCGAGGCAGTAGATTGTGTGCGAGGTATATTAATTAGCTTTCTTGGGGTTTATGTACTATGCTCCACACCTCAAAGTCCCACCACGTGACTACGTATGGAACGCAGTCTTTTGGCATTTAAGGCTTTTCAGGTTATGTATCTGTCAAAGTATAGTCAACGAAAGAAATAATATTATGTTTAGGAGTTAAAAATGTATAAATCTTTATAACATTACAATAACAATGGATGGTTTAAGAATTTAAGAATATAAATTCTGCATTTAATGAAATTCTAAAGTGTATGGTGCCAAATAAGTAATATTTTTGTGCATTTGGTCCAAATATCTCCATAAAATAATTTTAACTAAACAGCATTTATTAAAAAATTCTAGCTTCTCTATTATATATTATATTATGGAATAAGAATATCTGTTTTAAAAGTAGGTTAATATATTATAACAAAAATATCATCTAATTTTGTAATTTTAAGGTTAGAAAAATTTATTTTGACCAAAACAAATAAGTATTTTGGATTATTTAAAAGACTGTATAATATGGTATTTAAAAATGTGGTAGTTTTTCTTATCCAGCTTAAAGTGTACCTACATAAAGTTTTGTCAATACAAATAGTTAAAAAGCTTCGACTGAACTTGATCTACATCGAAAAATCATTATAACTTTAAAAATTTTAATAAATCACATGTCATGGGAGTATTAAATATTTTCACATTGCAAGTTTCTCTAAAAATTGTTTGTTTTCTTAAAATCTAACTTAAAGTAGGTATGCCGAGAGGTATGCACAAGTTTTGTCATTAAAAGTATAAAAGCTTCAATTTAATTTGAACCATATTTAACAATTATTTAGTATACCTATATTTATTTATTACCATATTAACACACTTCCAAATAATCCATTTATTTATTTTGGTCAAAATAGATTTTTCTAACCTTAAAATACAAAATTAGGTGATATTTTTTGTTCTAATACATTAACCTACCTTTGATACAGATATTCTTATTTCATAATAGAGAAGTTAGATTTTATTTTAATAAATGCTGTTTAGTTAAAACTATTTTATGGAGAAATGTAAACCCAATGCACAAAAATATCACTTATATTGCACCTTACACTTTGGAATTTCATTAAATGCAGTATTTATATTCCTAAATTCTTAAACCAACCATTGTTATTGTGATACTATAAAGATTTATTAACTTTTAACGCTTAAACATAAGCGATAACACTATAAATATTATTTCTTTCATTGACTATACTTTGACAGTTACATAACCTGAAAAGCCTTGAGGTGTGGAGCATAGTACTATTTTTGTCCAAGCGTTTAAATAAATAATTTCTTAAGATTCTGTCACATCGTTTTTAGGTTAGGTTCAACTAACATGATGACATTTTGGCTTTATTTTTGTACGCAGTTTAATAATGTTTCGACTGTTGAACTATTATTAATATGAATTCTTTCTATATAGACTTATGATTTTTATGATATAATTAATGTAATAAAATTATTATTCGCTTAAAACAAACATACTAAATATTAAAATTTTTAGTAATTTTTAGCCGCGATAGTTTAAAAAAAAATTACTTTTGCATTATTATTATGACCCTAATGGACAGTGTTGCAAAAGGTCATACTATTTGACTTACGTAGGTACAAGGAAGTGTATTGTTTGTAGTGAATTTTCCTGTGACAGAGCCAAGACAAGGATTTGCATCGAATACGAGCGACCGAATGCAAATAAAGATTAGGTTAACCGATGGCATTAGCGCAATGCGGCTGTTTTAGTAAACTCATCGTTCGTTCGCTACGCAATTTTAGGTCTATCAATTTAAATATTTTGTGATTTGCTACTTTTAATTAAAGTGGCGACAAAAGACATTTTTTAAGCTTATAATGTCAAATTTTTGAATTTTGGTTTTTTCCATTTTAAATCGTTCAAGGGTGTTTTTCTTTAATATTGTGATTAAACCAATCAAAGCACGGCAGACTTCATTTCACCAAGTGCGCTGTGGAGAATAACGTGCTCTGATTGATAATAAACTTTCTATAGAGATCATTTTATATAGAGAGTAAAGTCGAAAATTTCAAGAAACACAAGTAAACTTTCTGACTTTTGTCTTCATACAAATTATTTACTTTACCTGTGAGAAACTTTTTCTTAACACAAATTTTGCTATAGTCGCGTTTTAAGCTTGAAAATGAGGTGAATTTAATTTATGTTTTGTACAGCTTCTTTCATAAGGAACGATACGTTTTAAGAAGCAAATAAACTTTATGTGGAAGCTGCAAAATACTTTTAGTATGTGTATTAACTTTGTTGTATTGCTAAAATAAACCAAAAATTGCCATAACTTTGTTTAATTTTGTATAGTAATATTATATGAACTGTAAAGCTTTTTACCCATTATTTTTCTTTGTCTTATAATATAATACAGTTTGGTTTGCATTACACTTTTAAACAAAGCAGACTCTTAATTTTTATTTTGATTTTAATTTTCGCTGTTTAATTGGTGCTTTATATTGTTTCAAAGTTTTCCCAATAAATCGTAAAGTTGAAATTAATTGGCTTACACCTGCTCAAGCATAATTAAAATCTAAAAGTTCTCATTAATAATAAATTTATTGAAATTTTGTAGTTTCAAATCATTTTGCTGTTCTCAGATTTTACAGATTTTAATATTATATTAGGTATCAAGTTTGATAAATGTCATTTTAGACACGAATTTAATTTATGTAATGAGTGCCTCGAAAAGTTTATAAACGAGTTGCATAATATACTTTTTCTATGACAAATACTTAATATTATTTAAAAAATGCTTTAAATTAAATATCTGTTTAAAGCGACATCTATACGAAAATAAAGTAACCATCCATTATAGTTGGGAAGGGCTTAAAGAAAATAAATTACAACTCTTACTTTAATTAATAAAAAATATTCTAAACTCTAAATTTTAAAACTAAACCACCGCCCCAGAGCTATCCTAAATATAAAAATCATAAAATTCAGACAAAGGCACTAAACGGTTAAAAATCATTTTTTGAGACAAGATTTTTAGAGCATAACTAACTTTTCCAAAATTGGGCGCATTTATTTTCAAAAAAAAAGGTAAATGGGGGCCCCCGGTCAATTTTAAAAATACAAATATTTTCATTTTCATATTTAACATTGACTGGTTGTCCGCCCATTTTGGTTGTTTTTTTTTAAATTTATATAAACAACTTGGCTAAAAAAATATATATTTATATTACTACCCTTTTTTGCCCCATCTGAAATTATAACTATAATTTTTGTGTTTGCCATGGCTCTGCGGCAGTGGAAGGAATTTAAAAATATATATTTTTTCACCAACATGTTTATTTTGAACTTCAGTAACTTTTCCAAAATTTGACATTTTGATTTAAAAAAAAGCGAAATGGGCGGACCCCCAGTCAGTGTCAAATATGAAATAATTTGTATTTTTAAAATTGACCCCATTTAGCTTTTTTTTAAATCAATGTGCCCAATTTTGTAAAAGTAATTATGCTCTTAAAATATCAATTGGCTCAAAAAAAAAAATTTAATCGTTTTCTGCCCTTGTCTGAATTTTATATTTTAGATTTTTTTTTACCAAAATATTTATTTTTATCATACATGCGTTTTCAATTTTAATAATATTCATATTTCGCTCCACACTAATATACAATGTCAAGTTGAAAAACATTAGTTTTCTGCCCTTGTCTGAATTTTATATTTTAGATTTTTTTTCACCAAAATATTTATTTTTATCATACACAAGTTTTCTTTATACAGGCGTTTTCAATTTTAATAATATTCATATTTCGCTCCACACTAATATACAATGTCAAGTTGAAAAACATTAACCTTCACATTGCAAATACTCTTTAAAAGTTTAAGAGTTTTTTTAGAAATTGTATGATTTTAAATAATACATTGATTTATGTATGATTTTAAATAATACATAAATCAATCATACAATTTCTAAAAAAAACTCTTAAACTTTTAAAGAGTATTTGCAATGTGAAGGTTAATGTTGTTTTATTTAAAATCATACAATTTCTAAAAAAAACTCTTAAACTTTTAAAGTATTATAAAGAGTATTTGCAAAGTGCAGGTTAATGTTTGGATACGTTTATTTGTAAAAAAACATTTTTCCAACTGTTTACTTTAATATAATTTATATTTTTTTGTAATAATTTGTTCAAAAACGCCCACCATCTACTGGTTTTTAATTTTTCAAGAAGTGTTTTTAATATCAATCACCTTTTTTTAAATTCTTTTGATAGATATGAATATTCAAACTCATATTTTAA